ATGGAGGTGAGAAGAGGGTATCTGAGACCCTGGAACTGGAGTTACAGATGATTGTTAGCTGCCATGTGGGTGCTGGGAACTGAACCCAGGTTCTCTGCAAGAGCAGTCACTGCTCTGACACCACTCTTTAAAAACGAGACCCAAGGTACAGGGTTCTGTCCAGAGTGATAATTTGTGGGCATTGGAAATCTTATGAGATGTAATTTTATTTTGTTTTATTTTTTTCAGTGCTGGGAATGGAACTCAGGACCTCATGCATATTAGGCAAATACTCTATCAATGAGCCAGATCCTCAATAAAAGTTGTGAATGATTAAACGATCCAAGAAAGCCCTCTTAGTTAAAAAAAATACTTCCTATATCTTTCCCTGGAATATGATGGGCATATGTTCTTTTTGGTGAACAAAGACTATAAGAAAAGCTTACAATCAAATCCTTGTACTGAAGTGTGTTAGCTAATTAGATTGCTTTCTTTCTAAATATCCAGTTAGAATCAGCAGTGTTTAACCACAGTATTTGATCAAATCCATGCCCACTCCCTCCTCTACAACATTCCCCCCTCTGAAGAGGTAACCCTAAAATCTTTTAAGGGTACTTTTGATATTTTTGGCCTTTGGAACAGAGTATGTTGTTAACAGGACCAAGGACATTTTGACTTTTAGCCAAGAAACTTGCTACATTTCTTTGGGGTCTTTTTACCCTAACTGCCTAGCCAATTCCTACCTCCTATTCTTATCACTCCATCCTCTGAAGAGGTTACCCAAATTGCCAATAGGGAATCGGGATGCACACTGCTCTGCCTTCTTCCATGCTGAACAGGCATGCAGGGTGAGGCAATTGGAGTACCCCTTCAGTGGGTCTCTCTAAAAGACTCCAAAATTGCATAATTCTTATCTCTAAGGGGAAAGGAAAGTCCTTGAAATGTGAATAGGAGATGTGAAGGAGAAGTAAATGCAAGAGTAATTAGCATTACAAGTTTTAGACAGGGAACTAGAAAAAACTCAGAACAGGGCAATTTTCAAATATTCATGTGACAGTCCATTGGAATTTCTTGACAAGGGCTTCCAAAAGCATCCGTCTATTGAGCTCTTCCTTATTTTTCTTTTGTCTTCCAAGGCTGGACTTGTTGGCTGGGAAGAGTGGCTGGATACTCAGGTGAGGGTCCAGTGACCCTGCTTGGCACTCCTCTAATGAATGAGCACAACCGTCAACAAACCCAATTGTGACTATGCTTAGTGATCAGGTTCAGCCGAAGTCGTGATGATGGTAGTTATTTCATGCAGAAGGGACTGCTGTATAGTATCTTCTTATTAAAAGGACCTGAAATTTAAAAGAGTTTGGTGCTAGGAGACACGTATGAGGGAGAACATACTTCATTTGTTTTTCTACGTCTGTGTTACTTCACTTAGTATAACAGTTTCTAGATCTGTAGATCTGTTATACTGACAGATCTGTTATACTAAGTGTATGCTTAGTGTTATACTAAGTGTAGATCTGTTATGTGTAGATCTGTTATACTAAGTGAAGTAACACAGATGCACAGAAACAAAAGACATATGTTCTCCCTTATTTGTGGATCCTAGCACCAAATCCTTATAAATGAGTATGCAAACAGACATAACTGCAGGAACCAGGACAAGGGTAAGGAAACAGTGAGGTAAAGGAAAAGAAATAACCTGAAGGAGAAGAATAGGAGTTCTCCACACTGTTTTCCATAGAGGCTGCACAAGTTTGTAATCCCACCAGCAGTGAATGAGCTTTCCCCTTTCTCCTCATCCTTGCCAGCATTTGGTATAATTTGTTCTCTTGATCCTAGCCAGGCTCATGGGGTAAGATGATACCTTAGGGTGGTTTTAATTTGCAATTCCCTAATTACTAACGATGTTGAACACTTTTTGAGATGTTTCTTAGCCATCTTTATTTCTTCCTTTGAGAGCTTTCTGTTTAGATCTTTAGCCCATCTTTTAATTGGGTCATTTGGTTTCTCGATTCTTTATTTTTTGAGTTCTTTATATATTCTGGATGTTAAACCTCTGTCAGATGTGTAGAATTCTTAGGGACAGTTGAAGGTAGAATTTTGGGAAGTCTGTATGGTATTTGCATATGCTGGGGAAGAAAGGGAGACTTTTCAGAGGAGAGTGACAAAAAATAATTCTTTTCTACTTCATAATTGTTGGAGCTGACCAAGAACCAGTACTGCATTCTCAGTCTGGGCAGTCTTACAAACAGTCATAAATTGGTAAGCCGTGGGGTATTTCTGCCATGTTTTCTGAACTCTTCGAAGGACATTTGTAACTTTTATCTTGATGTCCCTGTGGTATACTAAAAGGACACACTAGGCAGAACTTTGCCACAAAGCCCACTAAGGGTTACTGGGACAGCCTACCCACTTCCTGGTCGGTTCCCACCTCATGCCCTACAGCACTCCATAATCTCTGTGCTTCTCAATCCCTAGGAATTTCTTTAAGGGTTTGGGGTTCTCTAAGTGTTTTTGGAGGATTGTTGTTGTTGTGTTCTGATCATTTCCCTAAGTCAGGAAGCTTCCCAAAGTGGCTGAAACCTCGTGGTCTCTTTTAATGTTGTGTTTTGAGTTCTCACTAGCTGCAATTTATGGACCTGTTTCCCTGTCACTCTGGCCTCGATAGCAGCTCTTAACACAAAGCACCTATCTTGATAGTTCAGCCTACAGTTAGTGATGTGCTTTAACTGATTCAAATGAGGGCAGAGAGGAGTGCATGCATGGCCAGTGAGAACTTCCAGGAGGAGGACACACAGTGGTGGCCGTGCTGTCTCATCAGAGAGCTGGAGTTTGAGTGGTAGATACATTGGAGGAGGGCTGGCCTTCCGTGGACCCAGGGGGACTTTCTGGACCACAGTTCTGCAGGACTCTCTGATAGTGGAGTGAATATCCTGGAGAGAGGTAAGTACATCCAGTATGCACACCAGGAAGCCGGGGAGACCCACCTCCATTAACTATGGATGTGTCAGCCATTCTTAAAGTGGCCGCTAGGTGGCAGGCCTTGGATTTAAATCCAAGCAGACAAAGCTAGAGGAATGTGGGCATGAACCCTAATTGTAACAGTCTCTGAAGGCTCCGGGAGACAGATGTTTGCGGCCCCTCCTTGTTCCTACTGTGCTGCTATTTTCTCTACTGGACTCCTAAGCTCATTGTTCCAAGAACTGTGGTTCTAATTGTAAGCATCAATAAGGATGTGGTGGAACTGCAGCTTCCTGGGTTTCCCGAATCCTTACTGCCCCATCACTTAGGTGAAAAAGGACCTGGGGACACCTCCTGATGTTGACAGAGGTGCTGCGAAGTGGAAAGGGTTATTCTTCCCACCTCTCAATACACACACACACACACACACACACACACACACACACACACACGTGTGTGCACACACCCCACACTTTTAACTGATGATTCTGATGTGAAACTCCTTTGCACAGCCCTGTTCCCGATGCTTCATCTAATTTCAAGCTCTGGGAACTCAGGTTTGCAGGGGAGTGACAAGATCACTGGAGTCTGAACCATCCAGACCAGGTGCCTTACCCTGCACGTAGCTCTGGAGCCCAGCCACTGTGGGCCCTTCACCTAGGTTGACCCACACTTTTAACTGATGATTCTGATGTGAAACTCCTTTGCACAGCCCTGTTCCCGATGCTTCATCTAATTTCAAGCTCTGGGAACTCAGGTTTGCAGGGGAGTGACAAGATCACTGGAGTCTGAACCATCCAGACCAGGTGCCTTACCCTGCACGTAGCTCTGGAGCCCAGCCACTGTGGGCCCTTCACCTAGGTTGACCCAGGCCTTTTTCAGAGGACCAGGGTGAGGCCCTGCCAGTGTGGGCATTTAGGCTGTTCCTAGGTTGGTGTAGCAGCAGAGAGATCTTCATGGTCAGGTTGGGCTTGTCAGCTCTTTCTGAGCCCCCTAGGCCAGCAGTTCTTGCTTCTTTCCCTGCCCCCTTTCCCCAGAAAGCTAGAGAAATGCACGTAGAGTCATTTCTTGTGGGGGTGGGAGGGTAGGAAAGGATGGCACCTCTGCAGATAGTATGTCAGAGGACTGGGGAGTGGAAAGAGATGGTCATGGGAGCAGGGTCACCTGGACATGAGTCCAGCATATGTGTCTTGGACATGCCTCTAGGCTGGCTTTGATGTATCTCTTCTGCCCAGTCTTCGGTCTCTCTTCCAGGGTTTTAAGTGTATATTAATTTTTATCAAACTTGATATCCGTTTTCTTTAATTATAAATGTAATCCCTACTCACTGAAGAATATTTGGGAAAAAATTAAAACTAAAAAGGAAAATAAGCCCTGGTATTCTTCTATCCCAGTTCACCACCTGGAGACAACTTCTTTATTTTATCTTAGTCTTTTGTTTTAAATAAATCTGTATCACATGGTTATGAAATTGGGACCACATGTATGTCCAGTTTTCTTCCCATTTGAAAAATTAACAGCATAGACAGACATTTATCACCTCATTGAAGAGTTCTCTGAAGGGCCCTTCTAACAGCTCCATAGGACACCAGCTCCTAGGAATTCCTTTAAGAATTTCATCATTTTCCTGTCACGGAACACTTGATTGTTTTCTTTTTCTTTTTTCTTTCTTTTTTTTTTTTGCTGTTTAGCAGTAAATAATTCTCCATTAGTCTTCATTCATAACTCCCATGTCCTTTGGAGACATCCTTTGTGTGGTGTGGCTGGGTGTGGAATATTGCAATTCCAGGGCTTCTGACATGGGTTTCTGAAGTCTTTGCTAAAGTGAAAAGTGTCTCAGATTATGTCACCCAGCAGGGCAGAGGCAGTTAGCCTCTTTGATTGATAGGGAGCCACAGTGTAGATGGTATCCATGTCTGTCAGGCCCTAGCCTGGTGTGGGCTCCTTGTCCTGGCATGTTTGTGGCCAAGCTTGCCACCTGGGCTCTGAGTAGAATCAAGTGCCAGTGTCTGAGATGGGATGGTTCCTGTGACCCTTGAGACACTTGGGTTCTTTTTCTTTAGGTTCGACATGAAAACAGGTGTGTGGCGTTGGAGAGATGTCCCTGCTTCCACCGGGGTGAAGAGTATGCCCCAGGGGACACTGTGAAGATTGGCTGCAACACCTGGTGAGGCCTTGGCGATGCCCTGGTGGCACAAGGGTCACTTGGTTCTGGACCTTTGGCACTTACCCCTCACCCTGTGGAAACCTGGGTATTCTTTTTCTCTGTTGCTCACCCCTCACATGATGCCCTATAGATGGGGGATTCTGAAATGGGAGCGGGGGACCTCACTCCATAGAGGCCATGCATGGGGTGGCCAGGCTGATGATGCCT